TTTTTAAAACGTAATGATATTGCCTCTGAATAAACTCACTTCATCATATGTGAATTTTATTTATTTCAGATTAAGCCCAAGTATTTAAATAAGTTAATTTATGAATACATGAGTTCACAAGATGATAGTGATGTTATTTCATGTCTCTTTTCCTAAATAATTATATAAATCAGTCTTTGAAGCTTAAAATGATTGTGTAAGCAATGATTGAGAGCCAAATAGAAGTAATGTGAGATTTTAATTCATGTATGCACCAACTGGGTAAGACAAAATAGGGCTGAGTGAGGAAGAAGATAATAAGACTCTCTGGTAAGTTTGTCTCTAACTCCATGACCTTGGATAAATGTATATTTATTCTGTAAGATGCAGGCAAAACCTGCCCCCTACCTATCTTCTTGAGCTGCTGCAAGATTTATTGAACTAGAAGACAAAGTGGTTTATATATCTGCAGAGACAGAAGTCACCTAAATGCAAAGCAGTAGGATTAATTCCATGAATTATACAAAGTTAGGGTAGCTTTCATAGCATTCCTATGTGCCTGCCTTTTCCAAATATGAGGACTTAAGTGCTTCAGCTAAAAACATCCTAGATTGTCTGAGAAGAGACACAGTGACTAGATTCAGACTGTGCCCAGTATTTATTTGATACCTGAAAGTGCTTTAAAGGGCAGTTTAATTGTTCTCATCATTCCCTTGGCAGGCTATGGAAACAGCCTGAATATTGTTCTACCTGGCTTTTGTCTGTGGTTTTTCAGGACATTCATCTGAAATGCAAAACACCTTGTCTCAATGGTATCCAAGGAGAGCCAAGTATTTGAGAGCTATTAAGAGACATTGTTCTAGTGATGAAGCATATAATATAATTTGATGCAAGCTGAAGTCAAGATATCCATCAGACAAGGAATAGTGGAAGGCAGGAGGAAGAATATATGTATGCACAGAGCTGGTAGTAGTGGTTCCTGTTTATAATCCTATAGGCAGGCTGAAGGAGGATGGCGACAAAGTCGAGGCCAGCCCTGTCTGCAGAGTGAGTCCTTGCCTTGAGAAGCCAAAGCAAAGCAAAGTTATTTCACTGTAACTCTTTCAGAAAGACCACGGCAGTGATGACTATTCCACCATGCTTAAAAATATTTCCTTATTCATACCAAATAAAGGCAAGAAGATATCAACTACTGATGCACTTACCCCCTCACCCTCCACAAAATAACCCCTTCCTCCCTTTTCCAAGCATTGCTTGTTTAATGTTATTGAAAGTAAGCATTTACTGAGAGCCTAATCCACAGAAACTCACAAGCAAGTGTTGTCTGTTAGCTGAATTTAGATTAAACAGAATGACAAGAGGAATGGCTATGCAGAAGCCTCTCTTTGGGCACAAAATGGCAGTATGACCCTTGGTGATGGCTGTTTAACATAATCTGCAAAGGAGAGAAAATGGTAACATGCAGCTGAAAGTTCAGAGGCACTTTTGTAAGTTGGCACAAAATCTGTAGTGCAGGCTCTCACCTAGAGGACACGGTGTTTACAGTGTTTCCTGCTAGGTGAGATGTGGGTAGTGTTTCTATACCACTTGGCAGTCGGTCTTTATTGAAAGCATAATGAGCCAGGCACTGACGGAAGCACCGGGGGAAAGAGCAGATTAATAGAGCTACTATCGTCTTTATCCACACTTCATTTCAAGGGAGGTTATTAACAAAGAAAACAAACACAAGATTAAATAACACCGAGAAGGTGCTATTAAGGAACTGACACAGGAAAGAGGCCATGGTGGTACTGCAGATGAAACATTCGATGGGGATCTAGACAGCAGTGGCATAGTGTTTTATGTGCAAAATTAAAAAACCCTCCTCATAGGAATCGCTGATGTATACTTTCTTTGGTCCCGTGACATTCGTTTTCTAATAACATGTTCACAGTACCATAATAACAACACCTATGCGAGCTGGGGAGATGGATCATCATACAGTCAGTCCTGGCTGAGGTTGGTATCCTAAAGACATGAGTTCCATCCCCAGAATTAACACAGTGGAAGGGAAGAACCCACTTCCAAATATGGTACTCTGACCTCCACACTCACACTGTGGCAGGGATAACTCCACATGTATACACACAAGACAGGTAAGTAAAGGAAAAAAAAAAGAACAAAAAAAAAAAAAAAACATAGTACCATATCCTATATTGATTAACTGAACATATGGGAAACAGACTTCCTGTGATTCACCTGCTGCTGTGGACTTCCAACAAGGGAAATGATGGGTTTAGGGAATTCTGATACTTTCTGCCACTACTTGTTGGTAAAAAATCACCATGGAAATAAAATGAACACACACACACACATGTGGAACCAATTTTATCCTCATTTGTATAATTTATTCTTCACCAAATGGACAATGGAAACAGAGCTTAAGTGTTTTACCTGGCCTCAGTGAAGTCTCAGGTGACCCACAATCAGTCACTTTAGTTCTTGGGAATTTTTTCTTTTGTTTTTACTACTTTTTAAAAAATCTAGACAAGATTTTGCTCTGTGTTCCAGATTGCCCTGAAGGTAATTATGTAGCCCAGGCTTCAGACTAGGGCAATCCTCAGCTTCCTATTCCTCGCATTGCAGAAATGAGCCCCACACCTGACTTTTGTGAGATCTTCACATGTGTGAAAAGATGCAAAGTCTACATTCTAGGAGGAAAAATCCACTACATCTGTAACTTTTATTTTATTTTTAAGGAAGATATTTGCTTTAAAACTAAAATTTTGGTGCAGCCATATTTAAGGCCAGGAAACTTTAACTAGCTAATCTCTGTTTCCACCCCGCCCCCTTTTTCCAGTCCCATTTTCTGGGTGGGAAATTTTGGTGATCTGATTCTTTACTCTCTACTTTCCTTTCCTGGAGAAACCCCTACTTATTTAGCCAGATTGGAAAGGAGGTTAGAGGGTATGGAAAGAAAGCATTAAGCAAATGCTGCTGCTGCCTTGCTCAAAAATCTTTTCTTATAGGAGGAACAAGATTACCCCAGGGTTTGACACAGTGGACAGGAAGCCTGGGGAGCAGAGAGGACTCATGATGAGTGCCTTTCTGTGGAGGCTACAGCCTGCCAGAATGTGTTTCTGTTTCATCAAGGTTTGTATTTGTGTAGTGATGGCACTTTTCAAGGAATCTTTGTCTTTTAAACAGCAAGAGGACACAGCACTTACTCAACTTCGATGTCTGACGCAATCAGGCCCTGTGCACTTACTCCTGTGCTGCTTTAGGCTTGATATTGAATTTGTTTGTTTATTTATTATTTATTTATTTTTGGCACAAAGTCTCACTCTGTAGCCTAGACATGTCTATAATTTTGTTGTGTCCTGTCCTAGTCTTGAGTCAATGGAACCATCATGATGTGACAACTCTCTGGAAAGGATTATTATAAAAGTTGTTCCTCTGGAGCACCATCAGGAAGGTTTCATTAACTGAAGATTAATTAGCACTGTGTATTGCTTTCAAGTGGGGCTCATCACAAAATTAGAATTTTATGAAGTAAGATGATGGTTCTAAGTATGAAACTGAACAAAAATCAAGTTGCAAACTGGAATTAGCACTATTTTATAACATCTGTTTATTCAATCCACAAATATTCCTTCAATAGATTCATAATTCTCATTGCTTAAGTGGATGTTATCTGGTGAATAAAAACTAAAGAGATTCAGAAGCATTTCAAACCTTAGAAACAAGTATCAATTTGGAAAGTCTTGGCTTTTGAGAAACTTGGTAGTTTTCAAAGCCCTCACACCTACTGTAAGCCATAATCTGAATTTCTGAATTTCTGAACAATAGCAGAGGATCTCTGGTAGATTGATATTATAATCCCAGAATTACAGAAGTTTAGGATCAGAAATGATTTTAAAGGTCATCCAATGCGGCCACTTAATTTAACACGTGGGACGCTCAAATGCCTGAGTTCCACAGCAAACACCATCAAGCGTTTACTTGCTCAGGAGGATCTGCATGCATGTGTGAACAACCCTGGGGTAGATACCGGTGGCACCCGCATTCAAAGCCTTTCCTGTATGTGTTGATCTATATTTAAAAAAAAAAAATCACAATGTATACACACCAAATCAACCTACAGTTCCTATCTTTCAGTGCACTGTTGCCAAACAGGTCATTTCAGAGTTCGATCTTCCTCTTTTCAACGAGTTTGTGGTCTCGTAAGGACTCCAAGATGTATATAGCTACAAAATACCTGGGGATTCTTAGCAGTATAATTGTGTTATCAAGTGCGACTGCTTTCAATGACCGAGGGTGCTTAAGGAGGCCAGAAAAGGAATTTAGGAGGATTCACAGGGGGAAAAAAAATCTCCCCTACTATACATAGACTGAGGAGGACACACACACACACACACACACACACACACACACACACACACACAGGGGGGGAATTCTATCTGTATCGCTCTCTGCTACCTTCTGGGCTCTTCCGCTGGCAGGGGCACACAAGCTGTGCTCAGAGTAAGGACTAGATGCCAACTCACCTAGTTTAAGAAAGAGCCAGAGGGGAGAGAGCAAAAGCCCACACATCCTTATCTCCTAAACTGAAAAAGATCAGAAAAAGTGGAGAGGAAAAAAGGAGAAACTAGAAACTACCACAGAGAAGAAAAGACACCAGGCAGAGGAAACCCTTCACTGCGCCTAGAGCCTGGGGCTGGTCGCCCCCAGGGGGCCCGAGCCGCTCTCGGGGACACCGCGCACCTTGGGGAGGGTCGGCGGCGGCGCAGCCCTGTGCGCAGCGCAGCTCGGCGGCGGGACGCAGCGCCCGGAGCCCCGGCAGCGCCCGCCCTCCCTCCCGCGTCGCCAGCCGGCGCGCGGCGCCCGCTCCGCCCGTGACTTCAGTTCGGCTCCACCCCCGCGCGGCGGCGGCTCGCAGCTCGGTCCCAGCCCGCGCGCTCCGCACAAGCCCAGCCCGGGCGAGCGGCAGCCACCTGCCCGGCGCCGCCTCCGCGCGCCCCGCCGCGGCCCAACTTGGATGGAGTTGGGGTCCTGAGCGCGCGCCCTTCCGCCGTCAGCGCGGAGGCTCGCTCCGCTGCCTGCCTTCGGTCCGGGACCCTTTCTCATCTCAGCTCGGCTCCAGCGATGGGAAAAGTTGGCGCCGGCGGCGGCTCCCCGGCCGGGCTGAGCGCGCTCCTGACGGGCGCGGGGCTGCTGGTGCTCTTAGTCCCCGGCGTCCGCAGCAGCCTCTCCTGCTGCCCTCCGCAGCACCGTAGCTCGAGCCCACGCTGGACCCTCACCCCGAGAGGCTTTCCTCGCCCGGGAACACTGGGTCGGGCTCCTGCCACGCCCCCGCCCCTCCTCATGAGACCCCTGTTCGCAGTGGCCCCCGGAGACCGGGCGCTGTCTCTGGAGCGAGCAGGGGGCAGCAGGGTGTCAGTGGCGACCGCTGCACGCTCTGGCCGAAGGAGACGGAGTGGAGCGGATCCGGAGAAGACTGAACCCGGAGAGGGTGCGAGTCGGAGCCGCCGGGGCATGCTAAGGGATGGAGGGCAGCAGGGGCCTGGGACTGGCGCGCGGGACCCGGACAAAGCCACCCGTTTCCGGATGGAGGAGCTGAGACTGACCAGCACCACATTTGCGCTGACGGGAGACTCCGCGCACAATCAGGCTATGGTCCACTGGTCTGGCCACAACAGCAGCGTGAGTAGAATGGAATGGAACTGTGGGCAAAGGGGTGAGAGAAGGAAAGGGTTACCATACACTGCGAGAGCTGATGGAGAATTGGGGGAAACGAGGTTTCTTTCTTGGGAGATGCTGCACAGAAGTCTTCCCTGCTGGCCTCACTCAGGAGTTCATGGTGCCTACTAGGGAGCCCCCCACTCCTCACCATCACAGTGGTCCCCCATCACAAGGTTCAAACTGGAACTGAATAAGCAGATCATTTTTTTATTATTATTAATGTTTCTTCAGTGGAACTAGAGACTAGTTGCGCTGGAGTGTGGAACTAGAGACCAACTGTGGGGGTGGGGTGTGTTAAAGTATTTATAATGCGGAGCTGAAAGGGTTAAATTCTCAAGCCCACTGAAATTCCCCTCAGGGACTTTTCCTTACCTGAGAGACTTATGGGTTGCACGGAGAAGTCGTGTTCGTGGGCTTTTTATTTTTATACATAGCTCCTAGCCCCCTCTTCCACCCAGGAGAGGCAAACTGCAGTGCGATATAAGGTGCCCTTTGGTATTTGTATCTGTTTGGGGACCAAACGGATGCAAGTTTCAGTGCAGAGGCTCCCCAGCATCTCCTGACAGCATTAGCAAGTGCGTCTTGAGAGCCAGGGCTTTTCTAGCCTCTGAAAGGGCAGTTGTTCTCCGGCGTGGTCGGCTGGGGAAGATCAGATAGATGGATCCCAGGGACAACGACTCCCTGTTTTCCCACCGAATGACCTCCTCCAGAGAGGAGCTCAAATGAAGATCTGAGTTTCCCTTTCTGCAGACAGGGAATAGATTCCAGCCCTGGGAGAAGACTGAAGGTGCACTCCACTGTCAGGAGCTTCCGATTTCAGAGAAGCCTCTGTGTTTGAAATCTGCAGAAGCTTCCCAGTTAACCCAGTCCTGGAAACTTCAGTGCCCTGAAATAGTAAAGACCCAGCTTTGATGGCAATAACTGAAGATGATTTAAAAGTGTGTAAAGTTCTCTAGGCTGCGGTGAAGCCGACAAGAAAAGTTAAAGGTTTATAAAACGGGGGTGGGGGATGGGGGCTGCACAGCGGGAGAATCAAATAATGGAGTTGTGAATGTAATATGTACATCCGATGTAGCCTGGTACCTTTGCAAATGTTTCCAGGAACCTTGCCAACAAGTGCCACTTCACTGAGCTGTGTTCATTGTTGGGTTTTTAATGAGAGTTGAGAAGGTTTTTGAAATATACGGCGTCATACGCTTGGCGGTCTAGACTACCCTCAACTGAGGGTAGCCCCTGGCTTCTCTCCAGTGCAGCCTTCACGACAGGCTGCTGCAGCTCGACGTGGTTCCCAGAATGGTTTTAATCAAGAGACTAGCAATGGAATCATTTCTACTCAAGTTCTGGACACTTCAACTATCACATCTTTTGTGTCACAGCTACTAAACTTGATCCTTCAATTTTAACTTCAGTCTTGCTATGCTGGCTGATTAGCTCAGGCTCCCTTTAGAGATTAACTCAAGGCTCTGGGGAGATCTTGAATACATCAAATGTGTGAGGTCTTGTTGTATTACAAAGGGAGGAAAAAAAGAAAGATAAAACTTTGGACTCAAAATATTTCTGGCTTTTAATGTAATTCAAGCTGTAAAATATCACTTACCCATTAGACCTTTGCTTTAGTTCATCTCTTAAAAGATCTTGGAAAGAGAGTACATCTTTGGCAAATTTTAACCTTCATTTCAGAAATGGCGCCAAGGATTGCCAGCTTTTAATTTTTTTTTTTTTTTTTTCTAGATGGACTTGAGTCAAACGGGACTTACTAGAGTTAGGGCTTAGGACAGGAAGAGGAATCTAAGACAGTGTAGGAAACAATCAAGGTGATGAATGTTAAAGGTTTGAACCCTGAAATTATGGTAAGCACAGAGAGGAGGTGTTGACCCTCTGGAGGCTCATACTCCAGTTTCCTGCTCCTCCACCCCCAAGGTCCTGCCTGAACATCTCACATAAATGACTTTTTTGTCATATTATGTAGTATATAGATGTGAAGAAAGAGAAAACAGAGCTTATCTAGGTCCATTAAGTAAAGCCAGTCTAACTTATCAGGACCAGACCTCTGGGAGACAGAAAGATTAAAATATTTTGTTAAGAGGAAAGATGCATAAAGACATTTTGGACAACTTTGTGCAATGAAAGTAGAGGGATATCCGAATTCCAGATAGTCTCACTAGTGTTTCGCCACGGCATGTTGTTCATGTTGGGTGTGTGGAAGTCATTTAATGTGGGGGAGACTTCTAATTAATTTTCAAGAGTTATATGTCAAGTTACTCACAAATAGGGCCTGTGACTGAAACCTTTTGCAACTATGATCATATTTCTCCAGAGCAAAAATCTACTTGTTTAAACTGAGGGACAATATTAGGAAATCCCCATGTTTTCATAGTTATGTATCCTCACTACTCCATGAATCTCCTTTCCAGTCCTCAGGGATACACCTAACACACCTCTAAGCCTGGGTCCTGGTAGAAAAAATCCTGTGAAAGAAGAGCTTTTGATTACAGTAACACTGGCCCTCAAAGTGCAATGCTAATTATCGGTGTTGCCCATCATTGCCGAGGAACTCTGGATTGCCGAGGAACTCTGGACTGGTCTCTTGCCTTCTTTTTCCTGCCCCTTTCAGCTGTTGAACTTGTGCACTTGCACAGAGACATAACTGTTGTGCTTCATCTGTGGGTGTAATGTGCTTCCTCCACACTGAAGTCTTCTCCCTTGATGGAAACTGTTGCTAGAGTTGGTGGAACACCTGGGGGGGGATCTTCTGGCATGAAAGGTGCTGGGTATGAATCATTTGTCATGAGCTTGGTGTCATAAGCAAGAACATATTGTTCCTGTCCTACTCATTCCAGGCATGCTGTGCCCTGATCTAAATTTATGTGTTAATCCTTAGAGTGTTACAAAATGTATTTGTCTCTATATGTGTTCATGGTGCTGTGTGTGTTTATACTTTCATCCTAAGGGATTTTTAAGTGCTACACTCACTAATCTATAAAATCCCTTGTAGGTGGTAAGTAGGTGACAAGTGTTAATATCTCCCTTTCGTATTTTTATACTGTAGTTAATTTGAATATTTCAGTTTATCACCCTGGCTCTTTCTCTCTGGCAGTTGTGTTAAATGATTTGTTAACAGAACTTTTTGCTTTGATTTTTTTTTTCTGTCATATGGTATACTCACCAGAAAGTATAGTGGCCTGGTCAGCTTTTTGCATATCACTTTGCCTTTAATGGTTTCTAGAGTTGACATTTCTATTTAATCATACTGAATATATATGAGCCCCACTGGGCGTGGCAGGTCTCTTACATTCAGCATCCCACTTGGTCATTTTGAGTAGACTTCCTTACATAGATGAGGAAGCTGAGGCTCCAAAAGAGTAAAAGTTGCCAAGAGAAAATCATATGTGAATGCTCAGGGCAGGAATGGAGTGCCTGTAGTCACCTATCCGGAACCCCTCAGAATGGCTGACATTTAGGTAGACAGAATACTTTGGACTCTTTATAAGTGATACTTGCATTTTGAGTTGAGATTATTTAGCTTTCTGTTTATCTGGGCAATAGATTCTTCCTTTTCACTCTTATTTAATGACACATTAGACCTTTTAAAGAGATTCGGTGTCAGTAATTTGGCAAAATGTTTTGATAGTGTCCCCCTTCTCTCTTTTCTGACCTGACTCATTTTTATTTTTAAATGAAGTGAAAAAAGTTTTCTTAGCTTTCATTAGCAAGCCCACATACTTACTTCTCTGGTGGTTTCTTGATGCTTTTACTGATGCTGATGGGATGTGGTACTTCGAAGGCAGCAATATTAGAGGCAGGTGGATCTGAGTTCCCATCTCCTGCTTCTCAACTCATTGCCTTGAGAAAATACTTGAGATTTTGGGGGGCTTGGACTCCTCATCTGAGTCATGAGAGTGGTATGCCTTCTGTAGATTTTTTTCCTTGAAGATTTAATGTCAAGAAATTAAGTGCTTTGTGCATGGTAAGTTCTTAGTAAGTGACGCTTCTTTGGGTGAAAAGAAAAGGTTTTTGTTACTGGTAATTAAGAATGACAAATTAGCGAGCTGGTGACACAAATACAGTTATTCCATGAAATTTCATGGCCACAGTTTCATCTTCTACAATGATCTGAATAAGTTATAACATCATCATATACTTGAAGATGAACTTCATGCTTTGTCCACCTGCGGACCTCTGACAGCCACCACATTTAAGTACAGTGTGGTGGGAGAGGCTGGGATTTAGATCTGTGCAATGACCTGCATCTCTCAGTGAAACAAAACATTTCTGTTTTGCAGGCTTCTTTCCCCACACTCAGGTGCATATTGTTTGTGGGGTGCCGCAGACCTTGAGGCCTGCAGACACAGATTATACATTCATATATGCTTTACCAGATTTGTTTCATTACATCTTGGTATTAATAAATGTGCTATCATTTGTATTGAAGGACAAAATAAAAAAAGGTAAAATCGGAATGTAAAAATCTCCTTAGAGAGCTCCACAAGGAGATCAACAGAACCAAAAAATCTGGGGACAGGGGTCTTTTCTGAGACTGATATTTCAACCAAGGACCATGCATGGAGACAACCTAGAACCCCTGCACAGATGTAGCCTATGCCAGCTCAGTATCCAGGTGGGTTCCCTAGTAAGGGGAACAGGGACTGTCTCTGACATGAACTCAGTGGCTGGCTCTTTGATTACCTCCCCCTGAGGTGGGGGCAGCCTTACCAGGCCACAGAGGAGGACATGGCAGCCAGTCCTTATGAGACCTGATAAGCTAGGGTCAGATGGAAGGGGAGGAGGACCTCCCCTATCAGTGGACTTGGGGAGCAACATGGAAGGAGATAAGGCTTGGAGGGTGGGATTGGGAGGGAATGAAGGAGGGGGCTACAGCTGGGATACAAAGTGAATAAACTGTAATTAATATAAAAAGTAAAAAATTTAATTAAGAAAGCTCCTTAGCTATCTTATGTGTT